ATTCAATGAATTAATATCTGTTACAAACTTGGTGCACAGCAAGAGCTCAGAAAACATCAAGCACAAAAATTAATCAAATTTTCAACTTCTATCATGAAACGATTGCCAGCCACACTACCTGCTGCACCATGTGTATGTTGCTGGCATTTGTACCGTATGATGAAGGTGGAGGCTGAGGCCCAGTGCCCGGCAGGGACCTTTCAGGCACAATGACACCGGATCCTCAGATACCCATGGTGCATGGATGATGATTAACCCCGTGTTCTAGATGAAGAAAGGCTCAGATGAGGGGACTGTAGGAGGCGGGGTAACAGCCCCCCATATATAACAGGTCTCAATTCCTGGGACCAGTCAATGTTACCTTACGTGAAAAAAGGGGTGTTTGCAGATGTGAGAAATTAAGGATCTTGAGATGGATAGACTGCCCTGGGTTACCTGGGTGGGCCTTAAATGCAATCACATGTATCCTTATAAGAGGGAGGTTTTGTGACACACACAAGGAGGAGGGGAAATGGGACACAGAGGCAGAAATTGGGGTCAGGTGGCCACAAGACAAGAAATGCCTGCAGCCACCAAAAATGGGGGGAGGAAAGGAGTGGATTCTCTCCTGGGCCCTCTGGAGGGAGTGCCGTCCTGCCCGCACCTCGATTTTGCCCCAGTGACCCTGATTTCTGACGCTGGCCTCCAGAACTGTGAGAGAGAAAATTTCCCTGGTTTGAAGCCACCAAGGTTGCTTGCAGTCCTTTGTCTCAGCAGCCTCAGGAAACTAAGACACTTTACCAGCATTGAGTCACCCCACTGGGAAATGGAGGTGGCTCCTCTGTCCCCATCCTTGAGGGGGTCGGCAGAGAAGCTCTGAGTCTCCCTCGGGCTCCTCTACCCTCCCTGCCCACCTCCAGCCCGGGCTCACCGGCAAGTAGTGGCCGTCATGGGTGCAGCCGCAGTCCTGCACGGGGACGCAGGTGCCCTGCGAGAGCAGGAAGCGGTCGTCACACTCGCAGCCCTCAAAGCAGCGGCTGGTGCAGCCCGTGAGGCCGGAGAGAGCGGCACAGGAGCCCTGGCAGGAGCGAGTGCAGGTGGAGTAGTGGCTGTGGGCAGGGCACTGGAGCGCTGCAGAGGGAGGAGAGAGGGCAGGGTCAGGCCTGTGGGTGTCGGGCCCTGCCCTTGGCATCCCACATACCGGGTCTGGGCTGGCATGCTGGGGACACCAGCTATGAAGACGGTCTCATGCCCTGCCCCATGGAGCTCATATCAGTGAAAAAGATAGTCCCAGTGCAGTGTGTGATCAGGGCTGCAGGGGGAGGCGTGGACAGAAAGGTCAGGGCCCGGATGAGGCCAAAACAGGGAGTTGTGAGGACCCCCCTGGGCTCTGCCTGAGCAATCGATGGATGGTGCGGCTGTCCGGAGATGCAGACTTGGGGTCAGAGAATCGGAGGGTCAGGTTTGGGGTGAGATGCTGATGTCATATGGGAACACAGCAGGTGTGAGGGACCCGAAGGACACCCAGGGGAAAGTGTCCAGGAAACCACTGGACCCCCGAGGCTGGCAGTCAAGAGAGAGGTCAGGGCTGAAGACAGTGTCCCCTGTCAGCACTGAGGACAAATCTAAGGCCACAGGGGTGGATGACAGCCCCCGATATGGGTGCTTTCCTGCGGAGAATGAAGGAGACACAGCCCTGCCCTGGGAGTTTGAAGGAAATGTACCCCCATCCTGGGGGGCCCAGGTGAGTCACAGACTCAGGCTGTATTATGTGAGCTACTGGTCTGTCTGACCACCCCTCCCAGGGCCCCACAGAAAGGGTTCAGGATGAGTCCTGAGAAAGAGCTCTGTCTATGGTTTCAGGAGCGTGGGCCCCTGCAGGGAGCCTGAGAAAGAGTCAGCGGGGCGGGGGTGGGGGGGTGGGGGGGGTGTGGGGGGGTGAAGGAGCAGACAGGGAGTGCTGTGGGAGAAGCTGGGGGCAGGGGGTGTGGGAGGGACATGCTTCAAGAGGGAGGCACTGCTCCTGAGAGGCAGACAGGACAGGAGCAGGTCAGGAGGAGTCCCTGAGCCTGGTCTGGAGTCTTCCGAGGGGCCCCCCTGGACACTTACGGCAGAAGCTGTCTGTCCTCCAGGGTTTCACGGCCCCACCAGACGCCTGGCAGTCCGCCATGTAAGCGGCCAGGCTGCGGCAGAGGAAGGTGGTGTTGCCTTTGTGGACACACAGGTCGTACACGCACTGGCGGAAGTACTCAGAGGGGTTCAGCACCGCGTGGCAGCCCGCAAAAGGGCCCTGGGGGTCCCGGACCCGACCGCAGGCCTGGATGTTCTCATAGGGCGCCGTCTCCTCCGCTGAGCACACGGGGCAGCCGCCCGGCCCACAGCCCTCGCCACAGCCCTGGGAGGAGCTGGGCGCCCGCCACCCGGCTCCAAAGGCGTCCACGCTGGGGGCCACGGCGCCACTGGGCAGGACAAAGTCGTCGCTCCAGTTGCCGTTGAAGTTCCCACAGAGGCCACAGAGCCGGCCATGGAAGGGGCTGGGGATAGATATGAGGACATGGGCATCGCCGTCAAAGAGAAGCCGCAGTCCCTTGGTTGTCTGCAGAACCATGTTCCGGCCCTCGGCGGTCACCCGCACACGACCTACAGCCACAGGCAGGGCCACAGCCTCGCCATCCATGGTGACCTGGGTGGAAAGGCCACGGAGGGGTCAGGGACTCACAGTACCACAGGTGAGACAGACCCCTCAGACTCCTGGCGTGGAGCTATGTCCCTCTCAGGCGCTTTGGGGTTGTACCATGTCCTTGGACTGCCCAAGGGTGGGACTGTGTCACCTTCAGACCTCCAGATCTGTGTCACCCTTAGTCCCCTTGGACTGGGGTCATATCTCTCTCAAGCCCTCAGGGTGGGCCCTGTCCCACTCAGAACCTGCCTCCCCGCCCCCCCTCCCCAGAGCGGGGCCACGTCCCCTTCAGACCCCCAGGGTAAGGCCACGTCCGCTTACTCACCCTCGGCCCCCGTGCCAGTACCACCACCTGGCCAGCCACAGTAACCACCAGCTGTTGGGCATCTCCAGCCGAGTTCTTCTCAAGCACAATGACAAAGTCCTCGTCCCCAGGCTGTGGGCGGCAGACTTGGGCCAAGATGTAGGAGCAGGAGCCGTGCAGGTCATAGACACGCCCATCAAGGGTGACATAGTGGATGCCCCCGTTGGCCAGGCAGCGGCCACAGCCTGTAGGGTGACAGGCCTGGACACCGTCCTCCACTCGGCACTCCTCGTAGGGTCCGCAGGCCGCACCCTGCTGGCAAGTGACTTGGCCACCCGGCCCGCACTCGCAGCGCCGCTCACACTCAGGGCCTGGGTAGAAGGACTCGCCCAGAGGGTAGTAGCGTCCCTCGTGGAGGCATCCGCACTGGCCCACAGGCACACAGGTGTCACCGCTGAGCACGAAGCCGGCATCACAGACGCAGCCCTCCCGGCAGGTGTGCACGCAGCCATCGGGCACAGAGAGGCTTGGGCAGCTCACGGGGCAGGAGTCACCGCAGAGCTTGTAGTGGCTGTGGGGAGGGCACTGGAGGGCTGTGGGGACAAAAGGGGAATGAGCCGGGCGGGCAGAGGGAGGGGCCCGGGGGGGGGGGGGGAGGAGGGTGACAGAGTGGGAGAACCGGCCCAGGGGAATCTGCATGTTCTGCCTGAGAATATTTCATGAGCGAATCCATCCAGGGATCTGAGGAGAGTGTCTGATCCAGTACATCTAACTGGGGGATTCGGTGTGGGGACATGGAGACCAAGTCTCTCTGACCACGTCGTGGGTCGGCCTGATCAAAAATTTCTATAGATGAAGTGAATTGGACCACCTACATCTGACCAAGATATGCGGGATTGGAACCAAACGTGTGGGTACCTTGGGGGGTGGCTCTGACCGGGCTACGGGACCAAATGTGTCCCGTATCTCTGGTGCAAATACACCTGACTGTGGATGTCTGGCCTGGAGCCTCTGATGGAGTGTCTCAGAGGACAAGGTTGGTGTCAGTGTGACTCTGACCACGTATATCTGATTGGGTGAAGCTGACAGGATAAATCTGACCAAATGTGCGTGAGGGGGGAATTGCCCTGGACTCTCTGACCGTGAGCCTGTGGATATCTACCTGGGGCTCTGTCAGGGTCACGATTCTACCTGGGAGTATCTGCCCGAGTGTCTCTAACCGGAAGGGTCCCTGGCTGAGGTTATCAGACCAATTCTATCTGACCTTGTGGATCTCAGTGTTTGAAACAGTGTAGGTGCATCTGACCAGGTGTAACTCTCTAGGTCTCTCTGACGAAGGGCACCTCGCTGAATAGCTGTGACAGGGTCAACCACCCCAGTCTATCTGACTAGGATATCTGAGCACATGAATCCCAGAGAGGATCCAGCACCTAGGGTTTCTGACCAGGTGTGCCTGAGTGTCCGCCATTGCAGTATGTGACCTGGTGCATTTCCGTGGGTAAATGCCACGGTGTACTTTTGACAGGACCCACGGAGGAGAAGACTCTTGTCTAAGAGCCGTGTGAAGAGGGCAGGCGGGAAGACGCCCACTGTGTGGACCACGCATGGATCAGTACTCACGACAGAAATCCGGCCGCCTCCACTCGCCGAGCGTGGCCCCCGCGGCCTGGCAGGCTGCCACGTAGGCCTCCACGGCAGGGCAGAGGCCTCCCGGATGGCCCTGGGCTTGGCAGGCATCCAGCAAGCAGGCCTTGAAGTAGTGCTCCGGTGGCAAGAGGCGGTGGCAGGGCGCCAACGGGCCGTCGGGGGCCGAGATCACGCCGCAAGCGTCCGGGCCGCCGAAGGGCTCCTGCTGCTCGGGCGTGCACTGGGGCGGGCACGGCCCGGGCACGCACTCTCCGCAGCCCTCGGCGCCGCCCACCTGCCAGCCTGCGGGGTTCCCGCCCACAGCCTGCAGGTCGTCGGCTGGGTCCCGGTTGTAGTTCCCGCACAGGCCACAAAGGGCGCCCGCGTACGCCGCCGGCACGCGCAGGCGCACGAAGCTGTTCCCGTCGAAAGCCAGAGAGAGCCCGGTGGCGGCGGTCAGCACCACGTCGGCGCCACTCAGGTAAGCGCGCAGGCGCGAGTCCAGCTGATAGGGCAGTGCTACGAGCTCGCCGTCCACCTGTGGGTACCGGGTAGGGGTGGGTCGTGAACGGCGCGGGCACAGGTTCGAATTTTGACCTCACTACCTACGGGGGGGGGGGGGAATGGGGTGGAACCCTGAGCATGTGATCTACACTGTGTGATAATAAGGATGGGAGGAGGAAGAGGAGGAGCCTCTATAGACACGATGCCACTGCCTCCTCACAGGACCCTCTGAGGCAGGTACTATTATTAGACCCATTTTATAGTGGAATAAACTAAGGTTAAACTAAAAGAATAAACTAATTTTATTAGTTTAAATGGGGAAGACCTGCTGCTCCAAGGCCTATACTCTGAACCCCCTCCCCCCATCACGTCCCACTAACCTGTGAAAGGTAATCAGGGGAATGGCAGACCCCTAACTGTCCCAGACAACCCCAGGGCTGGTCTCTGGCCCCAGACCCCTCACCTGCAGCTGTCGGGGCCAGCGGGCACTGAGGGTCAGTCTGTGGTTGTACATGTGCAGGGTGACGCTGCGAGTGTAGCTGACGGCCTGGCTGCCCCGGTGCTCATTGACTACAGTGACCGTGAAGTTCTCGACACCCTTGGGTGGTGCAGAGCAAGGCGCACTCAGCAGGTACTCGCAGGTGCCTTGGAAGTCGAATCGGTGCCCATCCAGGGTGATGTAATGGGGGTCACCCCAGGCCTGACACTCAGCTGTGCTGACAGGGTGGCAGCCGTGCTGGCCAGAGGGCAGCAGGGCACATTCTTCACCCGGCCCACACTTGGCAGGCTTGCAGACCAATGAGCCACCCCCAGGCCCGCAGTGGCACCTCTGGGAGCAGGTGGCATCGGCCCAGAACTCACTGCCAGCTTCATGGTAGGTGCCGTTGGCCCAGCAGCCACAGCCACCGTCCAGGGGAACGCAACGGTCAGCACTCAACACGAAGCCCGGATCACACTGGCAGCCTTCGGCACAGGGGCCCTCACATGGCGTGGGGGTCGTGGGGGGCGCGGGGGACGGGCAGCTGGCTGGGCAGGGTGGGCCACAGAGCTCGTAGTGGCTGTTCTCGGGGCAGGACATCTCTGTAGGAGTGGGTGGAGGAGTGGGAGGGAGAGAAAGAGAGAAAATGCTGTCGGGGGTGGGGTCAGAGGAAGGGGAGGAGACAGAGGCAGAGAGAGACAAAGAGGGACAGACGGAGGGACTGAGAGAAACAGCAAGAGGCACCGACAGACAGAGAGAGGGACACAGAGGAAGACTCAAACGGAGACCAGGAGAGACGGCATGAGAAACGGAGAGACAGAGAGACAATCAAAGGGAGACACAGAGATAAGCGCCAAGAGACTGAGAGGCAAAAACAGAAAGAGAGAAACAGACACAAAGATCCAGAAAGACTGGGACCCCCTCCCCCCTCAGCTCCTGCTCTGCTCCCCCGGACACTCACCACAGCCGGCCTGCTCCCTCCAGTCCTTAATGACGATCCCGGCGGCCTGGCAGGCAGCAGCATAGGCGGCCAGGGCCTGGCAGAGGATGTCATGGGCCCCACCGCCTAGACAGACATCCAGAATGCAGCCCTTGAAGAAGCTGTCAGGAGCCACGTGGGCATGGCAGGCAGCAAAGGGGCCTCCCGCGCCAGGGGCCAGGGGCCCACAGAAGCCAGGGCCCTTGTACTCCTCCAGCTGGTCCCCAGAGCACGTTGGACAGGACCCCTGACACTCATCCCAGCACAGCGGGTCCCAGCCTGGAGCTCGCCAGCTGCCGCCCCAGACCGGTATGGAGGGGGCCACGGTGCCATTCGGGAAGACCTGGTCGTTGCTGGGGTTGCGGTCCATGTTCCCGCAGAGCCCACACACGGCGCCGTGATAGCTACTAGGCAGCGTCACCTCCACTCGCCAGTCCCAGTCATAGGTGACCCGAAGCCCGAAGTCGGCTGCCAGCACCGCTTTCGACGCGCCCTGGGTCACTGAGAGCCGCCCTTTGGCCACAGAGAGAGGCAGCGCTGTCAGCACACCGTTCACCTGGGGGTTGAGGGGGGAAGGAGGCAAACAGAGGCCACTGGAGGCGGGGAGGCTCCAGCTCTGACCCCCTGCCTCCCTCCCTCATGGCGCCGTGGCTGGGAGCTGCCAAGGCCTTCCTCACGAGCCATGGGTGTAGGTCACTTGACATTGTGGGCGTTGCTAAAACCCTGCTCTGCTTCTTTTTCTGGGTCTATCTCCATCTCCCTCCCTTCCTCTCTCTCTGTTGTCTCTCCCTCTCTCTACATCTACACCTATTTCTCTTTCTGGATCTCTCTTTCTCTGAGTTTCTCTCTTACTCTGTATCTCTCGTTCTCTCTGGGTCTCCCTTCCCTCTCTGTGTCTCTCTCACACGTGCACTGACTCTCTCTGCATCTCTGTGCGTGTACTCTTTCTCTTTCCTGTGCATCTCTGAGTGTCTGGACATCTCTTCGACACACTCACCATCATTTATTGAGCACCTACCCTGTTCCATACCTCTCTCTCTCCCTGTGAACTGCCATTAATCTCCAATTCCATTGCCATGGGCAAGAAGGGTGGCCTGTCTCCCCCCACCGCCTCCCCTCTCTTTCTCATCTCCTTGAATTTCACTCCACGTTGGAGGCTCTGGGCCTCCTCACAAACATTCATGGCCTCTTACCCGGGTCAGACCCTCAGCTGAGCACTTATCATGTGCCATTGGATCCCCCTGTCACAGGTGAGGAAACTGAGGACCACCAGGAAAAGTCACTTGCCCAACATCACACGGCTCATAGGGAGAGACTGGATTCAAGCCTAGGTCTCTAAAAAGGCTAATGCTGAAGTCCTACATCAAAACCCTTAGCAAAGGGCTAGACTCCTTTAATACCCCACAGAGAGTTGATGTTTGCGGTTGTTATTGTTGCTTTTTGCTGTCCTTTTGTTTCAGGCCTAGGTGAAGAGAGAGCCCTCAGCTCCTAACTGTGGCTGGCAGGACCCCTCTCCCCAACTAGGGGGTTCAAGAGACCATCCTGCAGAACTTACCCGGACTTTGCCGATCTCGCCTTTGTGGATGGAGATGTTGACGCTGAGGGCAGACACGGTGACGAGCCTCACAAAGGACACAGCAGGGTTGCCCCGGTTCTCATTCTTGGTGGTGACGGTGAAGGGGGTCAGGCCCTGGGTGCTGACCCCCGGGCAGCCGGCGGCCGCCAGCACATAGTCGCAGGTGCCCTGGAAGTCGAAGTCCCAGCCATCGAAGGAGTGGTAGTGCGGGTCGCCCCACAGCCAGCACGTGGCCTCGTAGTTGGGTACACACACACCCTGCCCATCCTTCTCCTGGCACGTCTCCTGTGGCCGACACGTCACACCGTGACAGGGGTCTGGAGACAGGGAGAGAGGAACTTGTGGGGCTGTCCAGCACAGGCCGGCTGCTCCCCAGCCTCAGCCCCGGTCTGCCCCAGGGATTCTGCCCCGGGGCTAAGGGCTCCTGCAGGTGAGGACAGACACCAGGGGCTTCCCATCTGAGACCAAGCCCTGGGGGTCCCCCATGTTTGAAATCCAGGCCCTGTGGTGGACTGTGTCTAAGACCCCATCAAAGTCTCCCACATCCAAGGCCAAGGCCCTGCAGTTTGCTGTCTGAGACCCACGCCCCGAGTACCTGACTGCCAAGACCTAGACTCTAGGGTCCCTACATCAGAACCCAGCCCCAGGGCTACCAGTATCTGTGATGCCAGCCCTGAGGGCATCCATGACGGCATCCACAGCCCCAGAGTTTTCCATGTTCAAGACCTGGGTCCCTATTATCCTGTCCAGTGGCACCAAGGGTCTCAGTTCTGGAGGCCCCATTCTTTTATCTTTGGGAATAAGGAGTTATTCTCTGTCCTTCACCCTAAGAAACCAGTCCTGGGGGGTGGGCAGCTCTGTGAGTTAGACTTAATCTGGGGGGCCCCATGTCTGAGATTGTTTCCCTATAAATCCCGATCCTCTTCTGGAGGGGGGTCCTGTATCTAAGACCCCAGCCTTCGTGGGGTCTCTACCTGAGACCTCAGGACTATACTTTCTGTCTCTGTCCCTGGGGGTCCTGATTTCCCCTACCTTGAAGGGGAGATGGTGTTAGAAGCCCTGAGCCTAATCCTGCATATCAGTGGTCAGTAAACTATGGCATAGCCAGCTGCCTGTTTTTATAAATACCAGAGGGTTTTATTGGAGCCTTACCCCCTCACTTACATAACCTATGACTGATTTCATGCCACAGTGGCAGAGTTGAGTAGTTATGACTGAGACTATAAGGCCTGCAAGTTCAAATATTTACCATCTGTCCCTTTAGGGAAAAAGTTTGCCTGTCCTTGCCTTATGCCAAGGGTCTCTGACATCTGCCCTAGGGAACCTAGCCCTGAGGGTCCCCAAAGCCTGCATTCTACCATAAGGTAGAACTCCACCTCCCAGCCTGGAGGGCCTGTGCCCCTAGCCCTGGGAATCCCAGCCCCGGGGTCCCCATATTGGAGACCTCAATCCTTAGTCCTTTGTGCCACCCACTGTGAAAATCTAGGTTCACACCTCCCGCTGCTCCAGAGTCCCCATCCTCTGTTCCCAGCCCCACGGGGCCCAGCCTCAGCCCAGCACCTTTGGTGACGCAGCTCAGGACACCTCCTGCGGGCTCGCACACCTGCCCTGGCTTGCAGCTGTGGGCCTGGCATTCCAAGCCTTTTCCGGCGTGGCACACACACTGTTGCTGGCACCTGTCGATGAGGACCACCTGGTTCGGCTGTGAGGACAGAGGACACGGCCATCAGGGTGGGAGCTGAACTGGCATCTCCAGTGTCCCGGGGACAGAGGGTCCAGAGGACATCAAGGGAACATCTTTCAGCAGAGTGGCCCCTTGTCTGTGCAACTAGGGCACCGCATGGCCTTGGGGTCCAATTCATTCATTCATTCACTCACTCACTCACTCGTTTTTCCAAAATATCCACTTAATGTCTGCTGTATATGAGAAACGGTGTAACATGAATTAAGAGCAAAGGCCCTGGAGCAAATTGCCTGGGTCTGAAGCCTCATTCTGCTATTTCCAAATTGTATCACTGTGCAAATTGCTTAACCTTTTATGCCTCAGTTTCTTCATCTGTAAGCAGTCGATAATCATAGCACCTAACTATGGTAGTATAACTTGGTTAATAATACGTATAAGGTACGGGGGAATGAAAAGGGAGTTCCTTTATTATGATTATTTTTTTTACTTTGAGAGAGAGAGTGTGTGTGAGCAGGGGAGTGGGGCAGAGGGAAAAAGAGAGAATCTCAAGCAGGCCGCATGCTCAGCACGGAGCCTGACGCAGGGCTCGATACCACAACCCTGAGATCCTGACCGGGGCTGAAATCAAGAGTCAGATGCTCAACCAACTGAGCTACGCTGGAGCCCTGGGAATTCCTTTAAATAATCCAGATTAGAGAGGAAACAGGGATAAGAGGCAAAACAAGATCAGGAAAATGTGGTTTTCGCTAAAGCTGAGTGAGGGGTACATGGAGATTTACACTGTTCTCTTAACATTTGCATGTTTGAAAATTTTCCTAATAAGTAAAAAGTTCATATGTATGTGTAATGCACATATGCTGTGGATTTGGCACTGAAAGCAGTAACTGGCATGTAGGAAGCACCATCTACCTATTTGCTTTTATCATCACTATCATTTGTTTGAGGAGAGCAGCAGAGAGGGGCCCAGCCCTCACAGAGCTCATGGTCTTCTGAGGGAGACAGACAGACAAACACACAGTCAAGTCAAAGAAAGAGTAACTGGGTGAGGGTTGGAGAGGGAAGCAGACGGAGTTACCTACTGTGTCACAGAGACAGTCTAGACCCGGGGAGCCAGGGAAGGGTTTAAAGTTGCAGGACCCATGGCTGTTTTGAGAAAGGTCTTCCCACTGCCATCAGGGAGGTGACCCAGAGGGAGCAAAAGTGGGGGCATGGAGGGAGCATGTGGGAGATGACAAACGGGACCACGGTGGGGCCATGATGGGGGGAGGGGACAGGTGGGAGAGACATTCAGGAGGCTGAGTGGACAGGCTGTGGAGCGACGGGCCATGGGAGGGGGTCCAGCGTGAGGCCCTGGGCTCTGACCACAATGACCGGCTTCCTACCTCGTAGTAGATGCCGTTTTGGTAGCAGCCACATTGCTGGATGGGCACGCAGGCCTGGCCGTTACTGAGGAAGCCGGAGTCACATTGGCAGCCCTCGGCACAGCTCTCCGGGCACAGTGGGGAGGCGCTGAGTGCCGAGCAGCTCAGGGAGCAGGTATCTGCACAGAGCTCATAATGGCTGTTGGGGGGGCACTTCATCGCTGCAAAGAGAGGGTGCTGGTCAGAGCTCCCTCCCAGGGGCTCTGAGGGAGGGGCTGCAGGGCCCAGTGTCCTGCCCCTTCTGTGCCTCAGTCTCCCTGCCCTCTGTCCCTTGTTCTTCCCTTCTCTGCCCTCTACTCACGACAGAACGATTCAGTCCTCCAGGACTCGACGTGGCCTCCGGCCGCCTGGCAAGCACTCACGTAGGCATGGATGTTGCTGCAGAGAATGCTCTCGTTCCCACCGCCCAAGCAGAGGTCAAAGACACAGTCTTGCAAGGGACCCTGGGGATCGACCAGCTTGTGGCAGGCGGCCAGCGGCCCAGTGGGGCTGGTGAGGAGCCCACAGAACTTCTCCTGCTGGTACTTCTCCTGCAGCTCAGGTCTACACTCCAGGTCCGAGTTACAGTCCCCGCCGGGCTTGCAGGTGGGTGGCGGCAGGCAGGGAGAGCCTGGCACCGCCTCCTCCCATGAGTTGCCGAACTCGGTGGGGTTGCCTGCCTGGGAGCCATCTGGCTTCCGGAAGTCATCCTTGGGGTCACCATTGTAGTCCCCACACAGGCCACACAGCTGCCGGTAGTAGTTGCCTGGGATGGTGACCCGCACGTTGTATACGAGGTCGTAGGCCACGCGCAGGCCAAAGTCGGTCTCGATCACGGCGTCCGAGCCGTGCTGGAAGGCACGGACCCGGCCCTGGGCCAGCGTCACGGGAAACCTCATGTCCACACCATTCACCTGGGAGGTGGGATAGTCCACGCGTCAGGGGCACACTTTGAGAGGGCAGACCCTTGTCGAGCCCCTGCCTGACACTGGAGATCCGTGTGACCTCGCCTCTCTGGGCCTTAGTTTCCATATTTGGAAAATGGGGAGCATGGTCGAGTCTTTGTAGTGGGTGGAGTGGTGGTCTCCAAAGGATATGCCCCCCCAGAAGCCCTGAATATGACCTCATTTGGAATAAGAGTCTTTGCAGATGTACTTAGGGTCATGATCTCAGGATCATCCTGGATTAGGGTGGGTCCTACATCCAGTGACGAGTTTCCTTATATAATGATAAGAACCAGAAGAGGAGATAGAGAGGAGAGGCCACGTGGAGACAAAGACAGGGAAGGTGGCTGTGAGCCAAGGAGCACCTGGGACCTCCAGAAGCCGGAAGAGGCAAGGAAGGATCCTCCTCTAGAGCCTTGCCAATACCTTGAATTTGGACTTCGGGCCTCCACAACAGTGAGAAAACACATTTCCGTTGTTCTAAGCCACCATACTTGTGGTCACTTGTTACAGCAGCCACAGGGGAAGCTCGTACAGGTTTCGAAGGAGTAACATGCTCACCAGCTACCCCTAAATTCACCACTGATCAAGAACGCAGCGATGGACTCCAGAGCCACTGGCCTGGGTTTCAACACAGCTCTGCCCTTTACTCTTTCTGTAACTTTGTGCAGGTCAGGACCCCTCGCTGGGTTTCTGCTTCCTTATCTACAGAGTGGGGTCCAGAGGGTTGCTGTGGGGATTAGATAAATTGATATTTGTACTTTACAAATTCTGGCACAGAATGGGTGTTCTGGGAGCATCTGCTACTGTGACGAGCTACGGTCGGAAGGTTTTATTTTGACAAGTAAGTGGGTTCTGAGGCTTTTTGCTTTAAACATCAGTGGGTGGAACATTAGGCTAATGGGAAATGAACATCAGACCCCCGAGCCAAGAACCAGTGGCTTTAACTGAAAGCTGCTGGGCACCAACAAAACCTCATATATCCAC